ACCCAAGCCCCTCTTGCCAAAACTACCCTGTCCACAGCCCCATCAATGGAATCACACAGTGTACTAGGGAGGGGACATCCAGTCCCAGGCAAAGGACATAGACCCCTGAAATGATCTGGGAAGAAGGGGAATACAGACTAATACAGTGTCTATTCTCACCATTGTATCTATAGCACTGAGAATAGAACATATTAGATGTTCAATAAATATCTGTTGAATTTATTTAACCTTTACTCATGAGGGGTAAATGTTATTAGTCAAACCCATCAATTATCTGTAAAATGTGGCCTAGAGGAGGACACAGGGCAATCTGGCATTAATGTTACAAAAGAATCCTAGAGCGAAAATTAGATGTTCAATAAATATCTGTTGAATTTATTTAACCTTTACTCATGAGGGGTAAATGTTATTAGTCAAACCCATCAATTATCTGTAAAATTTGGCCTAGAGGAGGACACAGGGCAATCTGGCATTAATGTTACAAAAGAATCCTAGAGCGAAAGAAATGTTGCCCTGGGGCCTCTTCTCCTCCAGCCCCAGACCCCTGGGACATTCAGAGTCTAACACCTTCCTGTCCCAGTCCCAGGCTATATATATCTCACTTGGGCAAATCTTTGTCTCTTGCATCCATATCAACTACTGCCCTAGGAAACAGGAAAGGCTTTCCCAAAAGGCAATCAACTGAAGTGTGCCTAGGATCTCTTCAGGCAAAGAAATCAAAGGAAGAACCCATGCAAAGGCATGAGAGTGAGAGAATGTCAAGAAAGTGGTGTCAGGCCCAGGGGTTTGGTACGAACTGGGAGCAAAGCCCCTGCTAAGTTTTTCTATTCACTCTGCTATTTCCCTTAAAACCCCCAAATATTAGAAAGGGAACCATGTCATCTTCTGGGCAACTGGTTCTTCTCTTATCCAATTATTTTGGCATCATGCACTAACGCCAGTTTGTATCCATGTTCTCCTGGATTCTAGACCCCAGTTCTGGGGTTCACTCTGGTTCTGGCCATCAGGGCTGCTTGGGGCTCAGCAGGGCCTTGCTACCTCCCTTTCCTGGGGACACCTTCCATGGCTGCTTACTGTGAACCAAAAGCCATGCCTGGGCCTGCTTATGCCACAGCTGAGTTCCCACCAAGCATGCCAGCTGCTTTTCACATGGGCATCTGCCCCATTAGTCAGCCTGATTGTCCTGTCTCTTTTGATAAGGAAGCAGTGAAGAGAAGCAATTGGGAACATGCTTACAATGAATGCACGCCTACAGCTAGGAGCCCAAGGAATGACCCCATACATGGAAAACAGATGGGTGCACATCATGGGCAAGCCATTATACAGGAATCCTTTAGTAAAGGAAAATTACACTAGAGTTAAGTCTCTGAAGACATGAGGCTGCCAGATACACGTGTCGGGTCACAACCCAGACAATGACCAGGTCTTGTTTCTTTTCAGGACATTGTATACCACGAGGTACTTGGAATGTTTCTTTTGCAAATCTGTTCCCAGGAACTCTTCTAAGGCAGCAGCTGCCCTCAGAAGCTGATCTGAGGGTAAGCACAATGACCTTTACCTCATTTTGTGTGCCCTTCATGTGTTCCCGAGCTTCACAGGCTTTGCTTCGGCTTAAAAGGCAGCAGATTCCAAACTGCCTTCAAATACTCAACCCAGGCTTTCACCTTCCGTTCCCTCATCCCAACTGCTTGGATATGGTCTCTCTGCATGATTTCTATTCAGGTTCTTTGCAGAAGGGGCAGCTGATCACTTGTCTTTCTGGGACTGGAGTGCTCCCGATAATCCCCAAGCAGGAAGAGTGCCCTCTCATAATGACGCCATCACAGCAAACTAATCTCTTATTCCTCTTAGAACAACTTTTTCTAAAGTGGCACTGGTAGAATGGCAGATCCAACAGATGACTCCTGCACAAATATATTTGAGAAATTAAACAGGTCTGTTTGCTGCGGAGTGTTCAGTGCCTTGACTGTTTAATGTGCACTGGGAATCTCCAAGACAAGTTACAATATGCAGTGGCTCCTAAAGGTCTTTAGCCTGGAAACCCTCTTCCCTAGAACATCTTGTTGGATGCTCCACAGGACATATTTTGAGGAAGCACTGCTTTAGAGAATGCCATTCATTCTGTAGTTCATTCTTTAGTTCATTACTGTGAGATACTGGAGGCTGGATGTGCAATGGTTGCAGCAGGGGTTTGGGAATCATAGTGACCTATGTGTTGTAGCCTCTGCTTCCCCACTTTCTTGATGTGTGACTTTGAGCAAGTGATTTCATCTAAGCCTCAGTTTTTTCATCTTTATAATGGGGATGATAACGCTATCTACCTCAGAGGGTTGTAATAAAGAAAGATTACATGAACCAGCATATGGAAAGTACTCATCATAGTGCCTGATACATAGTAAACACCCAGTTAGAGTTAGTCATTGTTATCATCATTCTTATTAGATGAGGATCAGGAAGACAAAGAAAAATTCACGGAAATGATTTTAAAGCAAAGCAGTATATAATAGTCATAACTTAGACAGACAAAATGACACAGGAATAGAGAGCAAAGATCTCTTAAAGGATGTGAGCATTTGGGATGGGTTTCCAGGATCAGTAGGAGTGTAGGAGGTGCTGGCAGGCAGGGCTGTGAATGTGCAGAGAAGTAACAGGGAGAAACAATGCACGAAGGAGGACACCTGCCAAGGCAGTGCCATTCAGGTGAGCTGTGGGATGGCTTGAGAATAGGTGAGGTGGGGCAAGAGTTGGAGAGAAAGGCTGAAAAGTTCTACAGAAGGCCAGAGCAGGGAGACTGCGGGGGCGCCTCCCACCCAAAAGATTAAAGTCTGATAAAGATCTTTTAATGAAACACGGTGTTTGCAGGGCCTCATCATGAAGGGATGATGGCAAGGCCTCATCGTGGGAGAAGATGCCGGTGTTCCACCCTGATATTCTGGAGCTCTGTGTGCTTGTTATTTTATTCTTTGCTGCCTCATAACTATCACTCTGGGAGACTTGGAAGTAGGATTCAAAATTATACTAAAATATTTAATCATACTAATGATACTTATGATTATGGATTTTCAGGAGATGGCTTATGGCAGTGGGGCCCAGAAGGGGACAACGAACCTATGTAGGCATTCGTCTTGTCTGGTGCCTAAGAGTTTGGCCTGGCTGCTTGGAAGGAGTTAATGTACAATCTTTTGTTTTACAATAGAAGTAGAAGTTAAGTTAAGCAAGTTAATTTTTAGAGTGTTTATTTAGGAATAAAGAATAGTTAGATGTAGGTGTGAATCAAGTTTTAATAACGTCATAGAAAGTCTATTGTACCATGGATGTAGTTTCGGTAATAATTGCAAGTGATGAAAAGTGATGATTATATGGGACCAGTGGGTTGTAACGTTCTTGCTCAAAGGAAAGGACATTGTAATTGTCTTTTCTGGGAATAAACTGTAATGCTATTTTTCTTAGAACATATGTCACTTACAAAGAGATATTATGATATTGTTCATTGATTATTTTATGATTATGTAGCAAATAAGAAAGAAAAGTATAAAAGTCTGATGCTTGCTTCAATAAATTGTCAGCATTCAGCAGATCCCTTGAGTCTGTGTGTTTGTTGTCCCAGCATTCAACAGATCCTTTGGGTCTGTATGTTTGCTGCCGCTCCATCGCCGACGCTGCCCTTCCTCCCTTTTGGAGGATCCCTTACCAGTGGGGACCTTTACAATCTCTGTGCTGGGGCTGGTCCCCGGCATTTCTGGCGCCCGAACAGGGACCCATTGGTAAGCCCCCCTCCTTATAATCTATCCCCTTTCATTTCTTTCAGGAAATAAGAAATGGGCAGCTAGGATCCTGCACCAGGGAGCCGCGGTCCCCCCAGTAGCATAGACTGGGTGAGAAAGGGCAGGGAATCAAGAACAGTAAGTATGGGTACACAAGAATCTAAAGAACGAGCACTATTTATCGATATGAGCAAGCGTCTTTTAGAAAATAAAGGAGTTTCGACCTCAAGTACCAGCTAGAGCATTTGTGCTTTATCGGTTGAGGATTAGAGAATCAATGAGCAAGGGAAGGGTAATATCCCTAAGGATCTTAAGGATAGGCAGTTTGGAATACGCTGCCTTTTAAGTACCCATCTTAAGGAAAATTATTTGGTAGCAGGACGTGATTTAGCATGAGAGGCAGAAACACTGGGGGAGGCAGGGAGGATGAGGAGCCCAGTTAAAGGTAAAACTGGATAAGAAGGCAGGGCAGAGAGGACGGCAGGTGAGACCTGAGCGGACTGCTCAGGCAGCCTTGATGCCACATAAAGACCAACCTTCCTAAATGGGGTGAAATTACTAAGTGGTGCCAGGAGCCTGTTGTGGAAATTGGAGCTTCGTCCACTGCCAGAGTTTCTAGAGGAACTGAGCACAGAAAATGGTCCTCATTTTTCAAGTCTGACCAGATTTCCAATGAAAAGACTCGGCCAATGACCCTCGTGTTTTACAGAGGTTCTGACTTGCTCCATCCTAAATAGGGGAAGCCTCCTATTCCCACATAGATCCGCAGGTCACTCTTAGAGCCACACTCCACTAAGTCGACTCTGATGCACAGATGAGTGTGACACATGGCAGCATCGGCTTTTTTCTACCTAATGTGGCTCTTCAAAATCATCCCAGAAGATGAAGTGCTGGACAAGGGTGGGCGCGAGAGTGGGGTGAGTGGGAGGGGTTGGCCTTTGGAACACACCTTTACGGATTGATTAGGTAGGGAAGTAGGACTCTTACACTCTGGAGAAAGGGACCAAATAGATACACAGCAAGAAAGTGCATTTTAATCTTGGCCTCAGGCAGAAAGGCATGATAGAATACTGACCAAATCCGATCTGCCAGCTCATTCCGGGCACATGAATAAATGTCCCTATCCTACCGCCGAGCCTCTGAATGTAGCTCAGGCAGACGGAACGAGGATATCATTATGAGGAAATGGGCTGGGGATTAGGGATGCTGGCATGAGTTTCCGGCCTCATTTTTTACCTTTTTGAAATCCCCACTCCTTTGATATTCACACAGCATCATGTCGAAGAAGATTGGTATGGTGGCTTTCCGGAGCTCAGCCTCAGGGATAAGTGTCATCTCTAATATAGGTCCCACCATGCCTGGGATGAAGCAGATTTTGTTCTGGCCTGAAAGAGAAGAGAGACACGAACACATAAAACAGTTTCATGACGTACAGATCCTCCTCAGACCAAGCCTGGGGAAAGAAAAAAAGGAGGCATAATAGTAAAAACAATAGTTAATATTGATATCGTTGTTTACCACAAGCCAGGCACTGTTTTGAACACTTTACATATATTAACTCCTATAAGAGGTGCATGCATCATCCCAAATGAGCTCTGTTATTAAGGATAATAACACCGGCGTGTGTAAAGCATGTCCCTCTTTACAAGGGTTTTTACCTGCATTATCCCCTCTGCAAATGGGGCCCTGATGGAATATGTTAGTGAAGGTAAAGCACAGGGATATTTGAAATTATGTCTGTCTGCAACACAAGCCATGTTCTGAGACGTGTAAAATGTGCTTTTACCAACAGTTTCATGAAATGAGAAAAGCAGAATTTCCTGCTAAGCACCTGCTGTCATAGTATGGTTGATGGAACAGTGAGAGTGAGAACATTGCTTTAGGATCAGATGAACACCATGTTTTGTTTCTTCTGCTTCATTCCAAGGCATCGCCCTTGTGTCCCCTCCACAACTTGGTCTGGCTCAAATGTCACAATTCCACCTTGCTTCCTCTACTGCAAGGCTTGGGCACACACTGTTCCTTTGTTGAGAATACTTTTCCCTGACTGCTCCCCAAGACACCCCCTCATTACCACTTGGCTTCCCTGGGATGGGTCCCATTGTCACTCCCATCTTAGATCAAACACTTCTTTGAGGGAAAAGCCCACTGCCTATCCCCACCCCACCCCCAGCTGGATCAGACACCCTACACTGGCTCCTTTGGTTCTGCCCTCTTACTCAACTTTGAAATGCTGACTTTATTGGTGGGATCATTTGATTAATGTCTGCCTCCCCCATTGAGAGCTTCATGAGAGTGGAGACCATGTTTGCTATGTTCTGAATGTCTGTCCCCTCCAGAGCTTATGTGGGAAGCTTGATTCCCAACGTGCCAGTGTTGAAAGGTGGAGCCTCTAAGAAGTGTTTGGATCATAAGGGCTGTGCTCTCATGAACAGATGAATCTATTTGTGAAGTAATGGGTTAACGGCTTAATGGGTTATCATGGGTGTGGACTGATGGCTTTATAAGCAGAGCACAATAAAAAGTGTTGTTGTCCAGCCCTCGCCATGTTGCCACAGGTCTTACAGAGGTCCTTTACAAGAGTTCCCACCAAGAAGAAGGCCCTCAACAGGTGTGCTACCTGGACCTTGGACTTCCCAGACTCCAAAACTGTAAGAAACACATTTTATTTATTTATACATTACCCAGTTTCAGGTATTCTGTTATAACCAACAGAAACAGACTAATACAGTGTCTATTCTCACCATTGTATCTGTAGCACTGAGAATAGAACATATTAGATGTTCAATAAATATCTGTTGAATGAGAAAACACATTTGTCTAGCTCCTACACTCACTGGCTGTGTGACTTGGATATGTGTCTCATTAAAATGCAATAGCAATATCCAGCTGTTGAGAAGATCATGTGAAAATATGTCTGTGTGTACTTAGCACAGAACCCTGCAGAATCAGTGCCCAGTGGCAGGGGCAGTGTTGCCCCAGTGGTTAAGGGCACCAAATCTAGAGCTAGACTGCCTGAACTTGTAAATTGATTCCACTGTCGACTACCTGTCTCATGTAGAGCAAGTTTATGTCACCTCTCAGGACCTCCATGTCTTCATCTGTAACATGGGATAACAGTATTTATCTCATAGGGTTGTTGGAAAGAATAAGTGAATTATTATTTATTGAAAACAGTGAACAGTGCTTGTCATGTGGTACACTTTCTATAGTGTTAGCTCTTACCATTGTGATGTTTGGTCACAATGAACCACAAAAGGCAGAACTGAGCAGACTCCTCAGAATATTCACATTGGAAGTGGCAGAGATGGGTAGTAAATAGGAGCACTCAGAAACTGCAGGGATTTCCTGGGAAGCCAGGGTCTCTTACCATTGTGATGTTTGGTCACAATGAACCACAAAAGGCAGAACTGAGCAGACTCCTCAGAATATTCACATTGGAAGTAGCAGAGATGGGTAGTAAATAGGAGCACTCAGAAACTGCAGGGATTTCCTGGGAAGCCAGGGTAGGCATATGCTGGCAGCCCTATCACTGAAGCTGACACCCTGTATATTTCATCACCTGCTGCTTCTTTCTTCTCCTGAGTCTCAGCACCCAAGAAGCTCACCCTGGTTTTCTCCATTGTCAGGATGAACATTTGTGGTCCTTGCCTGGGGCACAGAGCTCCTGGGGGTGAAGAAACTCAGGTGGTATGGTGTGTGGCCCTGCAAAGTTGCTTTTGATTAAAACAGAAAAGGAGCCAAGAGGGAAGGCAGAAAGAAAATGAATTTTCATTCAGCCTAAATGAGGCTTAATGTTGGAGTATTTCCCCAGAATTCAGATAAAAAAGGCATCATCCTAGGAATATCTTTAGTTAGTGAGAATGAAATGGTGAAATCAGGCAGAGAGTGGAGTGAAAGACAAAGACACTTTTCCAGGAAACCAGCTTCATTATTTGATGCACTTGGATTACACTTGAGCCTCAAGACTTTGCTTTGGTCCAAACACTAAAAAAACAGAAAAAGAAAAAAAAAACATACTTTCTGGCAGGTTTACAGTAATTGGAAGCTAGGTTTCTGATTTTGTCCTTCAAGATTCTTTAAGTCTTTTTCAAACCACAGTGGGGTTTTAAAATTCAAAGTCGAGTGCAATAATAGGTAGAAGGTAAATGGGAAACTGTCAGATAAGCCACCATGGAATGAAGAAATTGCTTATGCAACAAAGGCCTTTAGAATGCTGGAGGGCATTGGGTTGGATAAGGATATATTTAAGGTGGTTTAAAATAAAGGACGGACATGCCACAGACTTGGGATTTCTTAGATACTTTTGACCTGCATTCTTTGTAGTCAGTTGAGGAGATATTTGGCAGAATAGGGAGAAAGAGAGACAGATGCCAATCTCTAAATACAGTGTGATCTCAATGGCCCTTACAGTGCTCCCTAAAGAAATTTAATTCATTTACATAAAAAATGGAATTTTAGCACATTGGATTTTGTGTTCAAGTAATCCAAATGTGTGTGTATGTGTGTGCATGTTTATATACGTAGATGCATACACACACATCCAACGTATCTGTGGCTAATTGAATACGAAATCATTTGGAATAAAACATTCTCATCCAGGAGACACACCTGCTGCTGCATTTTTTAAAAAGGCATGGAAGGGAATGGTAAGAGGGTCTTTTTCATATAATTGAAGCTGAATCTCACTGGGAATAGATGCCAATTAGAAAAGGCTTTTAAAGTGCCAATAAGCCAGCGGGATAAATCCAAATGCTGAATTACACAGGCTTTGGGACAGGATCTGTGGTAATGAGAGCACGAAGAAGAGCTTAGGTGTGTGGGTGGAAAGGAGTCCCATGTGTTCTCAGGCCTCGGTTTCTCATCTGTGCAATGGCCTCATCCATCAGTCCTTTCAGGATAGACTGTGAGATGAATGTGAAGGGTCTGAGGGCACTAAGAAATGACCTTGAAAGAAAAAGAGGAAGGAAGGAGGGCTTTGTGAGCCTGGCTGAAGAGTGACGTTGGGCAAATCCCTGACCTCATAAGGCTGAGATGGGACAGAGAACTCTGAGCACATACGGATCCCTAAAGGCTGGCACGGACCCTGAAATGAACAGGGATGAGGGCAAGTTATGACTCCTGGACTACAGAGTCCAGCAAGCCTCCTAGGGACCCTAAAACAAAGCTGGGCTCATCATAAAAAACCACTCATTCAGTTGAAAGGAGAAGCACACAGATCTCTGCTCCTCCACCTTAGGCTTGGAAAAGCTCCCTCCTGGTGATGCTCTGAGATAGGCAATCAATTCTCTCCTCACTATGCAGGACTGGCCCAGCTGCATCTTCCCTCTAGACCCGTGTGAATCTCTGAGTCTGACAGCCTGGGTCCAGGTCCTGCCACTGCTGCTCAATGGCTGTGGGGCATTGTGTTTCTCATCTAACTTTCCTGAGCCTCCACAATCTCATCTGCAAAATGGAGATAATAATATCTGCCTGGTAGAACTGTTAAGAAGATTAAAAGAGTTCACGTAAACAAAGGGCTTTGCGTAGTGGCTGGCACATTTAAAAAGCTCAGTGTGGATGCTGTTCATGATGAAGAGGGTGACCGTACTCCAAAGCCAAATCCTACACCACACCAGCCCCTGCAAGTAAATCCTTATTCATTCTCTAGAGCTGTGTTATTCTTACAGAAACCACTAGCTGCATGGGTCTTCTGAGCACTTGCAATGTGGCTAGTGCAAACTGAAATGTGCTGTGAGTACAAAAAACCTACCAGATTTCAAAGGTCCTTCTCCCCCCTCCCAAAATCTCAGTAAGGTATTGATTACATGTTGAAATGATAATGCTTTGGAACATGGGGTTAAATAAAATATATTGTTAAAAATTAATTTCACTTTTTTTGAAATTTATTTTTTTAAATGTGGACATTAGAGCCTTTAAAACTAGACATGGGGCTCTCATTCTATTTCTATACGGCAGCACTGCTTGGAGCTTAGAGCTCCTGGCTCTGAAATTTATTTTTTTAAATGTGGACATTAGAGCCTTTAAAACTAAACATGGGGCTCTCATTCTATTTCTATACGGCAGCACTGCTTGGAGCTTAGAGCTCCTGGCTCTTCCTCATCGAGGCCAACCCTGACTCACTCACCAGATAGGAGCCCATCATAGATTCTCTGGGTGCCCCAAGTTTCTGCTCTACAGCTATTTCCCCTTCACAGCCATAATTAAATAACTCTGCAATTAGCATGTAACTAGTCAGTGCAATGATTACCAGCCCATGAGGACAGGGGCTGTATATCTAATCTGGTTTTGTTCTTAACCCCTGCCATTGACATAGTGCCTGGCATTTAGAGGGTGCTTGTATTAGTTTCTTGTTGCTGCTGTTATAAATTACCACAAACTTAGT